AACTCCCTGCCCCAACCCACCAGACTGTCACCTACCCTCCTCATCTTTTAGGCGCACCCTGAAAACCCATCTCTTCAGGGAAGCCTACCCCGCCCTTACCTAACAGCCGATCTGCTCCACCCCTCCTACCACTCCATCCCCCACAGCCACTTCCTCCTGTACCACTATCCCCTCCCTCCTAGATTGTAAGCTCGAAAGAGCAGGGCCATTGACCCCCTCGTGTTTTGTATTATTACTGTATTGTCTCATGTTCTGTCCCCCACTATAATGTACAGCGCTGAGCAAACCTTTTAGCGCTATATAAATACTGTATAATAATAATAAATGAATTTACATTTGGGAAAAAGTGACAGTCCTTTCAATTTCTTTAAGCTGTGACCCAAACCAAGAAACGGACTTATATCTTCACTACGTGCCGGTAAGGAATATAAAAATTGCTCACTCAACAGACCTTTTGACCCCAATGAAGGTGGTCAGATGCACTTTTTGGTCATACAGGAGACCATCCTCTCAGGAAGTTAATACCCTCCAGCAGCTCTCCGTCTATGGCCATAAGCTAAGGTATAGGAACTCCCAGCATGCCTCCAGTACTTCTATGGTGTTCGATATGGACTAATCCTTATAGAGATTTGGTGCCAGACCACTAAGATAAACCAGACAGATAAATAGCCTGCTAAGTGCAGTATTTATTAAATGAACATAAAAACCATATACAATTTGTACTCACATGGAATGGTACCTGTAAACCGACACCAGTATCTGCAGCCTGTGAATATCAAAGATGGCCGACGTGCTCCGGGCCTCGCTTTCGCTGAATCTGGACCCGAACCCGGAAGTGGCGTAGTGACGCTTCCACATGCATTTCGCTTAGCGGCGCCTTCAGAAAGGTCAGATAGCGAAAACATTTTGGAGGCCCCAAACTCCCTTTGTCAGGGCTTGCAATAGGAAACAGCATATAAGGACTGATAACCTGCAGAGATCTCATCAGCAGATGGTTTGGCAGTCCCATGGATTTGCAATGATTATCACACTGGAGAAAAGAAGTTCTAATCAATATCTGTAGGGTCTAGGGGCACCATAGTTCTGTCACGATCTACAGTGGGGATCGAAGGTTTGGGCACCCCAGCTAAAAATTTGTATTAATGTGCATAAAGAAGCCAAGGAAAGATGGAAAAATCTCCAAAAGGCATCAAATTACAGATTAGACATTCTTATAATATGTCAACAAAAGTTAGATTTTATTTCCATCATTTACACTTTCAAAATAACAGAAAACAAAAAATTGGCGTCTGCAAAAGTTTGGGCACCCTGCAGAGTTAATATCTTGTACTGCCCCCTTTGGCAAGTATCACAGCTTGTAAACGCTTTTTGTAGCCAGCCAAGAGTCTTTCAATTCTTGTTTGAGGTATCTTTGCCCATTCTTCCTTACAAAAGTCTTCCAGTTCTTTGAGATTTCTGGGCTGTCTGTCACGCACTGCTCTTTTAAGGTCTATCCATAGATTTTCAATTATGTTGAGGTCAGGAGATTGTGAAGGCCATGACAAAACCTTCAGTTTACGCCTCTTGATGTAATCCCCCGTGGAATTCGAGGTGTGTTTAGGATCATTATCCATTTGTAGAAGCCATCCTCTCTTTAACTTCAGCTTTTTCACAGATAGCATTAAGTTACCATCCAAAACTTGCTGAAATTTTATTGAATCCATTTTTCCTTCTACTTGTGAGATGTTCCCTGTGCCACTGGCTGCAACACAACCCCAAAGCATGATTGATCCAACCCCATGCTTAACAGTTGGACAGAGGTTCTTTTCATTCAATTCTATGCCCCTTCTTATCCAAACATACCTTTGCTCATTCCGGCCAAAAAGTTCAATTTTAACCTCATCGGTCCACAGAACTTGTTTCCAAAATGCATCAGGCTTGTCTATATGTTCATATGCAAAGTTCAAACGATGATTTTTGTGGTGAGGACGTAGAAGAGGTTTTCTTCAGATGACTCTTCCATGAAGACCATATTTGTACAAGTATCTCTTTATAGTGGAATAGTGTACCACAACTCCAGTGTCTGCCAGATCTTTCTGGAGGGATCGTGCAGTCAAACGTGGGTTTTGAATGGTTTTTCTCACAATCCTGCGAGCTGTTCTGTCTGATATTTTTCTTGGTCTTCCAGATCTTGCCTTAACTTCCACTGTTCCTGATAACTGCCATTTCTTAATGACATTCCGAACAGAGGATATTGACATCTGAAAACGCTTTGCTATCTTCTTATAGCCTTCTCCAGCTTTGTGAGCGTCAACTATTTTCAGTTTCAGTTTTCTAGACAACTGCTTAGAAGAACCCATGGTGCTGATTGTTGGGGCAACGTCAGATGAGTCTGGGCATTTAAAACCTTTGAGATTGACATCATCTGGTCTTCCCAGACGATGATTGAGAACAATCCATGACACTGGCAGGTCTCAGCTTTGCAAAGGGGGCAGTGCATGCTATAAATTCTGCAGGGTGCCCAAACTTTTGCAGACACCATTTTTTTGTTTTCTGTTATTTTGAAAGTGTAAATGATGGAAATAAAATCTAACTTTTGTTGACATATTATAAAAATGTCTAATCTGTAATTTGATGCCTTTTGGAGATTTTTCCATCTTTCCTTGGCTTCTTTATGCACATTAATACAAATTTTTAGCTGGGGTGCCCAAACTTTCGATCCCCACTGTACCTGTCAATCGCAGGCAGCTGACAGGTAGATCGCACTCCCTCTGGTGACACATGCAGAGTTAGACAGGGAAACGGCTGTGATAGTGCTAGCTGTGGGGAGCGATTTCCTGCTGGCCCCTCCTACCCTCTTTCCCAGCTCAGGCGCTTGTATGTGACATCAACTGGGATGGACTGAAGGGGAGGAGGGGTTGGCAGGGAACCACATGCCATAAGAGGACTCATCACAGCCGCTTCCCTGCGTTGCTCTGCATACAGAGGAAAGCTCTGGTAGTGTAATGTGCTCTGCTGCCAACCTGTACACTGCTTATCTAAGTTAGACCCAGATTTGAGCATTTCTGCAGAAAAAAAAGTCAAGTTCATATTAAATAGGTACATTTTAATATTTATCCTATAACCATTTCTAAAAATAATTGGTAGCTATAATAACTGTGTTCCCTGAGCTGTAGATGTGAACATTATTTCATGGGTTCCCTGAGATCTCTACCTTGGAGGAACCCTTGGCAAAAAGTTTAAGGCCTGGATTGTTCCTTGGATACACAGAATATAACTGGATACTAACATTTATAGGTAAAGTTGATCCCGGGAATATCCGATTGCCTCTCGGGGGATCAGGCAGGAATTTTTTTTTCCCTGCAGGAGCAAATTGGATCATGCTTTGCTGGGTTTTTTTTGTCTTCCTCTGGATCAACTGTGGGTGAAAAATTATAACTTTTTTTTTTTTAATGGTTGAACTGGATGGACCTTTGTCCTTTTTCAGCCAGACTATGTAAAAAGGTTGAGAAGCCCTGGTCTGGAGTGTGGTGATCAACTGTAGCCTGAAGGATTTAGGCTTGGTTCACATATATGCATTTTACGTTTGATGCTTTCTCCAGTGCTTTTTGCAGTTTGTTTTGAGTTTTTCTGCATGTGTTTTTACTGCGTTTTTATTTCAGCTTTTTTTTTTTTTTGTTTAAGTAGAATTATTTTTGTTGCTGGGCAGAATAAAAATGCAAAACGTGGCAAAAAACGCACTGCCATGCACTTCAGCAGCTTCTCCATTGAACTCCATTGAAATTGTAGCAAAAATGCTGCTTTTAAAAAACGTCCGACACTTTCCAAAAACGCAGCAGCTCAAAAAAGCATAGATGTGAACATGTTCCATAGGAAACCTTGGACTGTAGTACGTTTCTGCAAAAAGCACTAAAAAATGCACTGGTGTGAACAGAGCCTTAGTTCTGAAGAGATGCCTAGTGGTTTCTGGTGTAGCTCAGGATGTCCATTAAAAGAGGAAGGTGGGGAGCCCATACAGTGTAGTAAATTGAAATGTAAATCGTTGAAAAACTATAAATTGCTTAAAGCTGGATGGTTCCACAGTAGGAAAAAAAAAATAGTTCACACCAGTGTTGTGCAGTCAACAAAAAAAGAACGTACTCCATTTTTTTTTTTAATGGAATGAAAAAACGCACATGTTCCGAACTGAGTTAAAGGCATAAAAGAGATGGGAAAAAAAACACAGCAGAGTATCAAAAATGCATATGCAGAAGAGTATCTAGAACACAAAAATCGTGGTGTGAACTGGCCCTTTATATTCCAGAATGGATCAACTGGACAATAATTGTATCAGAACTATTGAACAGTGGTGTGGCTTTTCAGTTATTATTCTTGATGGCACATCTAAGGGTACTGAAATTAGTACCTGTGTACTATGAGGACCTAACTAGATATAACCTGAATATATGATTCAGGTAGACTTTTAAAACTGGCAACATGTATTGTAACGTTCTACCGAAAAGATTGATTCAATTGATATAGAAGGTAAACTTTCGCACTGCATAGTTGTGGGGGGAATATAAAGGGGGTTGTACAATCAGATTACAAACTGTGAAGCCACATTTTACTGTACGCTACAGAACCAGCAGTAAACGGATTAAAGTTGGAACAAAATGTTTAGGCGATACATTTGCTCAAATATTATTTTATTTATTTCAGGTACTTATATAGTGCCATCAATTTACGCAGTGCTTTACATATATATTGTATATTCACATCAGTCCCTAACCCTCAAGGGGCGTACAATCTAAGGTCCCTAACTCACATTCATACACACACATACTAGGGCCAATTTAGACAGGAACCAATTAACCTACCAGCATGTCTTTGGAGTGTGGGAGGAAACCCACGCAGGGTTTCCCTGTGGAGAACATGCAAACTCCAGGCAGGTGGTGCCGTGGCTGGGATTCGAACCAACGCCCCTAGTACTGCCAGGCAAAAGTATTTTAGAATACTTTTGAGATCTCATTTAACAGTCAAAGCTAGATCCCCAATTTTCTCATCAATGAAGGATGGTGACGGTTCATGATCTGCACTAGCGTCCTACAGCTATTCTGTCCTTGTGGAATTATAGACATTAGTGTCTCTCTGATTTGGTCCTGTATTGTGCTATGGCTTTTTACGGAGTTCATTAGCTCTTCTGTAAAAATGTCTTGTGTAAAGAGGTCATCCAAAATAGATTTCCAAGCTGGTTTTTCTTGAATGATTTTAGAAAAATTCCTTTTTAAAAACCCTGTAAAGAAAAAATAAACAGATATGAATGTGTTGTGGTTCCAAGTTACAGAAAATACAGGAAATATAACTTCAGCTAAAAGAAGTAGAAACAGTGGGGTACATTTACTAAAACTGGTTCGCTCAGAATCTGGTGCGGCTGTGCATCGTAGCCAATCAATTTCTAACTTCAGCTTGTTCAATAAATCAATGAGGCCCCTTTCACACAGGCGTTCCATAGATCCGTTTTTCATCTGTCCATTTACGGATGAAAAATGGACACCCGTGAATTTCTATGGACTAGTGGATGTAAATGGATATTCATCCGTTAATGTCCATATCCGTTAACATCCATTTTTTTTGAACAGCATAAACCCCTATTTTTCTAATGTAAAAAAACCCGGAACAGCTGAAAAAACGGATGTAAACGGACATAAACTGATATTTTCTTTGAAATAACATGACTGAACTGATAAAAAAAAAACGGAACGCCTGTGTGAAAGGACCCTAAGAGAGCTGAGTCTTACCCTAGGTTCACACCTAAGCATTTTCCAGAAACGCAGTACAGTCCATTTAACATGATTTCCTATGGGACACGTTCACATCTTTGCGTTTTCACCCGGTGCGTTTTTTGGAAAGGGTCAGGGACTTTTTTTAACACAAAAAGTTGCGCTTTTTGTTCTATAGACTTCAATGGAAACGCTACAGAAAAGCATGTAGTGTGTTTTTGCTGCGTTTTGCATTTTAAATCAACAAGAAGAAAAAAATGTAAAACACAAACGCACTGCAGAAACGGATCAAACGCAAACTGCATAGGTGTGAACCTAACCTTAAAGCTTTTAACAAGGGGGGGGGGCCTAAAAAAAGGACAGCCCACCCAAACTGTCCCAATATATAGTTACACAGTTAGTCTGGCTGAAAAAAGACAAAAGTCCATCCAGTTCAACCATTTAAAAAAAAAAGTTATAATCCTATAGCCACAGTTGATCAGGAGGAATGCCAAAAAACCAGCAAAGCATGATGCTATTTGCTCCTGCAGGGGAAAAATACCTTCCTGATCGGCTATTCCATGGATCAACTTTACCAATAAATGTTATATCCAGTTATATTCTGTGTATCTAAGAAATAATCCAGGACATTTTTAAAGCAATCTACTGAGCTGGCCAGAACCAACTCTTGAGGGAGTCTATTCCACATTTTCACATAATACAGCTGGACAGGGCTATACGCATGCTTTGTTTCACAGCCCTGGCATTCTTAGCTTGGGTGCAGAGTTTGACAGCCAGTAAATCCTGTCAAACTCATCCTTTGAGTTTAATGGGGTCCCTCCGCAACTGTGTGCAAGGCATGCAAGTGCAGCATTATAGTGGTAAATCAGGAATCAAATGCTTTCTGAAAAGGGATCTGATCACAGATCACGCTTCAGAGGGCACTTCACTCCCTGCTGTTCGGCCAACAGTTTTCCACCTGGCTCCTTCGATTTTTCAGTTTAAGGCTGTGGGGCAGGAAGGGACTAACTAAATAGATGTCGACATTCATCAGGAACCGGACAATATTCGCACAGTGCAAGGCCAGCTTTAGGGACGCGCGCACAGCTAGAAATGGCGGGTGCCGTTTATGAACGGCAAGCCGCCCCTGGAGTGCCACGGTCCTGCCGTTTATAAACAGGCGGACGGCAAGTGGTTAGTGGAACTATAGTCTCCTTTTAAGTAGCTGAACCCCACCGCACTCTGGCACAGCCATTATGGTGAATGTGTTGATGTGCCGATGGGCTCTGGCCAGCCTCCAGGTCCTGCCAGAGCCCATCTGCGCATGTGCAAAGAAGGCAATGTTTTGAGCCTTCCATAATAGCCGTCTTTGTGCATGTGCGGGTTAAAACACATGTGCAAATGTGCTGGGTAAATCCCGTGTGTGCAGATGTACTGCAGGGCTCAACGAAACCTGAAGCCTTGGGGCACATCTGTGCATTCACAGAATCTGAGTAGGTGGGTTGGGGCTAAACAAACATCATTCTAGCCTGCAGCATAAAAAATATTGAAATGTGAGAGAGTGGAGGGAGAAAGAAAGGCAACATAAGACGTAGCTAGGGGGAAGGTTCCCTTTAACAGGAGTCCAACCATCTGCTTATATTTATTTTCCTTTTTGCTCCCCGGAATGAAGACAGGATTCTCAATGTAAAATCCTATTTGCAACATGGACCTTCCACTGGGCTGAGGACTCTCTCCCAACATTGAGTCAAATACAAAGTCCCAGCTCTGTCGTTAGGAAGCCAGAAAAAATCACCTACCCTCCATACCTAGAAGTACTGGATCATTTTCTAGATTTTGGGAAACAGAGTGGCAGAGAAGCAAAGAAAAGTTATGTATGTGAAATATATGGATTCATTTTTTTCAAATAGTAAATGACTGCTTACGTTAACACCAAACAAAATGGATAGCAAAAAAAGAAACCAACCTTTAGCATCCTCAATGATAATTTCTTCACTGGAAGTATTAGCGTCGTTATCTTCCTGCAAAGAGAGAAAATAATTTTTAGGGTTTCTTCTATTAAATAACCTTGGCCACATATCATCCACAAGCGTGAGATTACCCCCTGGAGACACATAAGATCTCCCCTTAAAGCAGTCTTTCTCAACCTTTTTATCCAGAAGGAACCCATGAAATATTTTTCAGTTCTCAAGGAACCTGTGCTTAAATTAGTTTTATATATCTAAAGCTCATGGTGTAATAATCTGATCAGTAAGTTGTAGAAACAAATTGCCCCTTACATTGCTGGCCATATGTTGGTGACTAGTGTAGACCAAGGTTTCTCAACCAGGGTTCCTCCAGAGACTACTTGGGTTCCCTTGAGCAATGAAGAGTTTCTGCATCCCAGTAATCGCGGATATCAATGATGTATTTATAGAGAAAAGAAGGGAGAAGACCAAGGGAAAGGGGTCCCAATGAGGGCAAACTGCAGCTTGTATAAAAAAAATAGTGTAAAAATATAAGAATAGGAGAGCCACATATATATAGTCTATAAGAAAAAAAGAACCATAATTGTGGACATAAGTACTGCTAGTACTACTGTTATATATTCATTTTTATGTCCACAATTATGGTTCTTTTTTTCTTATAGACTATATATATATATATATATATATATATATATATATATATATATATATATATATATATATATATAGCTCTCCTATTCTTATTCTCTTTTCATATCTGACCCCCTGTGGCACAGTACTTTTACACAGGTATCAGGATTTTCTATTGTGTGGCATCACCTCAGATGATCACGTCATCTCCATCCTTCACCTTTCCTGTTGGTGGTGGTGAGGTCTACTATTTCATGGTTTTATAAGTTTAATTATTTTTGCAATAAACATTTACACTGTTTTTCATACAAGCTGTGGTTTGTCCTCATTGGGACCCCTTGACCTTAGGGACCCCTTTCCCTTGGTCTTCTCCCTTCTTTTCTCTATGCCATATTAGGTTCCAAGGACACCACTCTGTCATCCACATGCGAGTCGGCATTTATATATATTTTCCAGCATCAGGGATTTATTGTTTGATACCCCTTGGTGACTATTAACATTCAGCTTTGGGGCATCCAGGTTTTTTACAATTTTGTTATTTGCAATGATCTATTTAGTTGTGTGTAAGGGGGGCAGATTTTTCACAATGTACGAGTGTCCTCCTCCCGCAGAATAATTATATAAGGACACCTTATCCCATTGGCCACCACTCTATGGGATTGCTGCAACCAATACAAGAAGGCACTTTTACAATGTCTACCTATGTAAGGGGTACTACAATTTTCACCATTGGTGTATCTTTTTCAAACCATTTTTATTTATTCCATTTCATGATTCTTTGTTTTTCAAACTATTTTTTTTATTATAGAGCAGGGGAGTATTTAACATATTTGACACACTATATTCTTAATTCTTTTATGTATTATATTTACAACTTACTGACCATGCAAATGTGCCATTAGCTAGAGATGTGATCATTTACCATGGGTTCGCCAAGTCATGAAAATTATTGCAAGGGTTCCTCTGTATTAAAAGTTGAGAGAGGCTGGTGTAGACAGAAGATCAATCCACCAATGCTCACATGTCAAGAGACTTCGAGCAGCTTCTGAAGGTAATCTAGGGTTCCATGGTAGACTGGTTAACCTCTTCCTGTCCAGTCCATGTTGATAAACAGCCCTGATGAGAGCACTGCTGATGCAGGGGGGCATTTCTAAACATCCCCCCACATCCATTGCCTGTGCACGCTCCCGCGAGAAGTTTTATCTGTCTCAAAAAGTGCTAAAAAATTCATATGGGTACAGTATTGTATGACTGCGCAATTGTCATTCGAAGTGTCATCGCACTGAAAGCTAAAATTTGGCCTGGGCAGGTAGAGAGTGAAAGTGTCCAGACTTGAAGTGGTTAAGAAAGGATGCTCTAGAACGGTGGTCTCCAAACTGCGTCCCTTTACTTGCCTATTTCCAGCCCTTGCAGCACTTTTCTTCTCACTGATACAAGACATTATTCCTCCCACTGACACCAGCAATGGGGCATAATTCCTGCTACTGATAGCAACAACTGGGCACTATTTCTCCCACTGACACCAACAAAGGGCCACTGATACCAATGATGGAGCACTATTCCACCCACCGACGCCAATGATTGGTCACTATTCCTCCCATTGACACCAAAAATGGAGTACTATTCCTCCCACAGGACACCAAAAATGTGTTTTTTACTCAAACTGATGCCAGGACAATTTCTACTCCCAATCGCCACAGTCCGTCCCCACTAAAGTCTGTAGAACAGTAAACTGGCTCTTTGTTTAGAAAGTTTGGAGATCCCTTCTCTAGAATATTCGAGCCTGCCACTAACACCTACATACCAGATTATCACAAGCAGTAATGAGCTGAGGTGTGTTTGGACACAAATCCGAACGTCCCCTGAGCTATCCTGCCTTGAAGCTGTCAAAGGCAGGCGTTCCCGGTTGCGGGGTTGAAATGTCTATGGTTAGTTGTCAGCTTTGATAAGACTACCTGAGCTTATCTCCGATCACAAGCAATGCGCAAACTGGTTTCACATCACTTGCAAATATCAGGCCAGGATGGGCAAGTCAGTCTATGCTAAACTGATATAGCATGTTGAATCACAGTTCCTCCCACCAGTAGAAGCCATTGTACAGATATTTCAATCTTGCAGATGTTTCTGCATTATAGGAGTGCACCACCTTTACTAGGTTTCATAACCACATTGGGAAGAATAGATGTAAATGCCAGAGGGAAAATAAACATGAGAAGCCAGCAGGTAATTCAGCCTATGTGTTCTAACGCATGGCTGATGTATTCATCTTGGCCAGTATACAGGTGAAACTCTAAAAATTAGAATATCGTGCAAAAGTTAATTTATTTCAGTAATGCAACTTAAAAGGTGAAACTAATATATGAAATAGACTCATTACATGCAAAGCAAGATAGTTCAAGCCGTGATTTGTCATAATTGTGATGATTATGGCTTACAGCTCATGAAAACCCCAAATCCACAATCTCAGATATTAATGTGCTTTGATACAGCACTTTGGGAACATCCACCTTCTTTTGCAATTACCTTTTGAGGCTTTCCCTCCTTATGGAGGGTATCAATGATGATTTTCAGCACAACTGTCAGGTCAGCAGTCTTTCCCATGATTGTGATTCCTACTGAACCAGACTGAGAGACCATTTAAAGGCTCAGGAACCCTTGGCAGGTGTTATGGCTTAATTAGCTGATTAGAGTGGGACACTTTGAGCCGAGAATATTGCACCTTTTCACAATATTCTCATTTTCTGAGATTGTGGATTTGGGGTTTTCATGAGCTGTAAGCCATAATCATCACAATGATGACAAATCACAGATTGAACTATCTTGCTTTGCATGTAATGAGTCTATCTCATATATTAGTTTCACCTTTTAAGTTGCATTACTGAAATAAATGAACTTTTGCACGATATTCTAATTTTTTGAGTTTCACCTGTATTCCTTCAAAAGGACAACCTGACAACAACAAAAAAATAATTTCAAATGCGTATAATACTGGCAAGTTGGTGTCTCTCCATGACAGTATGGATGATCAACAATATGAAAGAGCTGTAGTCACATGAGCAATAAGATTAAAAGAAGAAGCACTGTTTCAGGTCGGTCCACCTTTGACAGCTCAAACCCACAATGGGTGCATGTCCAGCTCATGACTAGAACAACCAGATGCTGGTACACCAATATCACATAAAATCTGTCTTCTTTATTTGAATGTTTAAAATCATCAAACAATTAGACAGACATCACAAACATCCCAGGGAATCCTACTGACACGTTTCACGCTCTGTGGCACTTCTTAATAAACATTATGATGAATAAGTGGCCGATGGTGTGAAATGCATCAATAGGTTTCCCTGGGGCTTTTATGATGTCTAATTATTTGGATGGCAAGTCCTTGGAGACACAGTGGAAGGGCTGCAGGATGAGGAAAAGTGCCAGTGTAAGCAACCCCTATTGTCAAAGTTTGGCAGAGAGATCCCATTTCCATCAGTGAGGAAACAAATCAATAATTAAGGTTAATGGACATTAAGAATGGTCATGGGAGACATTTACTACAAAGAGTATATAGCTGCTATAAAGTGCAAAGTTAATGCATGCCTCAGCATGCTTTCTATGGACCATTCATCAAATGTACACAGTGGTGTGGAGCTTACAGCACCTCACAGTGGTCTCTCTTGCAGCAGAAATAACTCCATGAATGGAGGAGATGCCAGACACAAAATCAGGCTCTAGACTTTTTCTTCTCGTACTCCATTCAGAAGAATAGTGCACCACTATTTCAGAGTTCAGGCATGCCAGACACAAACACAGAGGAAATGAAATGCCAATAATATGAACAAAAAACATCTCAGTGAGATCTATGATCACCATGTCCAATTTAATAAAAGGTTCTACATATTGTTAAACCATAGGAATGTTACACTTACTTCTGGTGAATTTTTCAGAATGATTTTCCTTATGAAATTTTCTCTCATGGTAGTATTAAGTTCTATAAATAAAACAGAGGTTACACGGAGTTACCCTCTAATGTGTGGCTACAATATAGAAAAAAACTTAAAAGAAAGGTAACTATACACATTACATAACTGATGTCTGATACAGACTATTACAACCAGATCTCATGGTGAACTCCGTGCACTTGAGCACTTTAAATCGTATGTTAAACCTAACAATGAACATCTTTTATTTGCTGCATTTGGTCTCTAAAATATACCATTGAAAGCACTGTATTGTATCTGGTAAGTGCAAAAAATACCTGTTGATTATGTTATAAATTTTAGTTCTGTGTACACTTCCTGTGTTATTTCAAGGAACGTAATTAACCCTCCCAGGTCTTATCTTGAACCACAGAACAATTTAGCTGGCCATAGACATGTAAATTTAGTCTGGTTCCCAATTAATTGGCCAAAACTCACTAGGTGGGTGACCCTGTCAGTCCCCTCCTGTCCAACATTCTTCTATTGAAAAACTCAAGTTAGACTTACTAATAACTTGTTTTCCAAGAGTCTTTCAGGGCAGTACCTGAGAGATCATGGCTCTTCCCATCAGACAACAGGAATCACCTCTTACACCAATCTTTAAAAGGAGGCTTCTCCCCACCACTTGTCAGTTATAGTACCTCTGGCCCAAGCTAGAAAACATAAATATAACATTTTAACAACAGCATAAGGGTTGGTCGTTAATGTCCTGAAAGACTCCTGGAAACCAAGTTACCGGTAAGTCTAACTTAAGATTTCCCAAAATGTCTTTCAGGACCGTACCTGAGAGGATAAATGAGACTTACCATTTAGGGAGGAAAACAACCTGTAGAACCTTTCTGCCAAAGGGCTGATCACTTGCTGACAGTAGGTTCAATCTATAGTGACGAAGAAACGTCATAAAACTTGACCATGTTGCCACTTTGCAAATTTGTTCTGGTGTGGCACCAGCCTTTTCTGCCCAAGTAGCTTCCAGAGTTCTAGTAGAATGTGCCCGGATCCCCGATGGGGGAGTCAAATCCATCTTGGAATAGGCTTACAAAATAGCGGATTTCAGCCATCTAGCGAATGACCCCTTAGACACCAGGTGGCCCTTTTTGCAGCTTGAAAATAGAACAAAAGAGAGTCTGAAGACCTAAAGTTCCTTGTTACCTCAAGAAAGTTCTCACATCCAAAGTATGAAAAACTGACTGACTTTTCTCCTGAAGGATTGGGACAAATGGTTAAGAATAATCCTATCTGGGAATATAGAGAAGAAAGGCTCCCTGAGGAATAAGGCGTGTAGTTCACTGATTCTATGTGCCGATGTAACACCAACTAGAAATACTGTCTTGAACATTAGATTTTTCAGAGAAATTGATTCCAATGAGTCGTAAGGTTCCTTTGTCAAAGCCTGTAGAACCATGGGCAGGTCCCATTTTGGGAAATTTTTTGTAGGTACTAGTCTGGATCAAGCAAGTGCTTTGAAAAATCTTGAGACCAATGGTTCCAATCAGATAGACCTTTCTAAGAATACTCCTAAGGCAGCCACCTGCACCTTAAGAGTACTAATTGCTAGCCCCTTATCTGCTCTTTCTGTAAAAACAATAACACTGAGTCAGACTGCCACAGTTCGTTTAGCTGAAGAACACTAAGGATTATAAACTTTCCAAAATTTTCCATAAAATAGCCCTGGTCACCTTCTTCCTACTCGATAACAGGGAGTAAGGGCTCTGAAAATTCCTTTCTTCTCAACAGCTGCTCTTCAGATACCAGGCGGTCAGCCATTAACCTTGCTACCTCTGGGTAGTTCACTGGGCCCTGGATCAGTAAATCCTTTCTGGGAGAAAGGTGCCAAAAAGGTCTGACTGCTAGCTGTAGAATGGTGGAAAACCAGGCCCTCTTTGGCCAGAAAGGAGCAATCATAATTACTGGAACTCTTTCTTTCTGGATTTTCCTCAACACTAGCAGGATCATGGGGGGGTGCACAACACAGGTGAAACCTCCAAGGGTGTGCGAGAGCATCCATCCCCATGGATTCATCATCCCTGTGCAGGGAAACAAATTGAGGAATCTGTGCATTTTCCCTGGATGCAAACAGGTCCACCTGGGGCTTCCCCCAACTCTGGGTAATCAAAGCAAAGACTTCTGAGTTCACGACCCATTCTGCTGCCTGAACGCGTTGCCTGTTCAGAAAATCTGCCACCTTGTTCACATTTCCCTTGAGGTGGATCGCTGATAGGAATAGCAAATGTTTCTTGGCCCAATTCAGGGTTTTTACTGCCAGAAACTGAATGGCCCTGCTTCTCGTTCCCCCCGTTTGTTCAGGTAAGCCACTACTGTGGCATTGTTTGACAGAACTTCAACATGGTGACCTTGAAGATCTTGAGAAAAATTAGGATTTTTTCCTTCTGACCTGGACCAGTTTCCTTGTGCCAGATTCCCTCTCCAATGCCCAACCCCCCCCCCCCCCAACACCAGGATCTGGTATCTGTTGTAACTCTTCTCTCAACTGGAAAGGAACATAGGAGACCTCCTGATATGACAGCTTGATCTCTCCAACACCAAAGAGACTTTTTATCCTGGTGGGGATCTTCACTGCTGTGTCCATGGAACTCAGATTGTGATCCCATGTCCTCAGAATAAACTCCTGGAGTGGCCTTAAGTGTAGTTTTGCCCATTTGAATAGCTGGCATTGTTGAGATTAGAGTTCCTAAAGCTGACATGACTCCTCTTTTTGACAAACTCTGATTGGACTGCAACAGAGCTACCACATTTTGAACTTTGTTCTTTTTTCTCCTCCAGCAGGAAGATACTGATCTGGTAGCCTAGAAACTGTACTTCCTGTGCAGGCAAGAAATTTGATTTCTGGAAGTTCACAATCCACCCTAAGTTCTCCAGATGGGTGTGGGCTTGATCCAAATCCTCATGTAATTTTTCCCTGGAAGGGGCAAAAAAAGAGATCGTCTAGGTAAGGAATAACTGCAATCCCCTGCAGATGAAGTGGCAAGAGAGAATCCGCCATTACCTTTGTGAAAATTTGCGGAGCAGACGAAAGACCAAAAGGTAGAGCTTTGAACTGTAAATGAAGAATCTGATTTCCCATAGTTACCGCAAATCTGAGAAATACTTGGGACTGAAAAGCGATGGGGATATGAAGGTAGGCATCCCTCAAGTCTATTGACTTAAAATAACCCTGAATTTTCTGTATAGAACGGATTTGTATAAAAGGCTACAGGTTGAGGATAAGATGAAAATTCCCTAAAGGTTTCCTTACTAGAAAGACATGGAAGTACAAACCCTGTTGCTTCTCTTCTTGTGCTACCTGCATCACAACCCTCTGTTGCATCAGATCCCCTAAAAGGGTCTTCATAGCCAGAGTCCTGGTTGTGTGTTTCAGCAAATATGTGACCAGATATCTCTCTGGGGGAGATTCATGGACTGTGTCCTGTATCCCTGTGATAGCAAAGTCAAAATATACCGACTTGAAGCTATGCTTTCCCACTGATGCGGGAACCCCTGAAGCCTTCCTCCCACCACAGTCATTGTGTTTTGTCGGTCTGAGCAGGGGGATGGAAAAGGAGTCCATCTTTGCCTTTTGACTTCTGTGTTAATTTTTTCTTTTTCCCCTGGGTCATGTTGACCTGCTCCTGATTTTTCTGAGGTCGAAAAAAAAAAACGCTTAGGAGGCAGTTTTCTTCTTTTGATGGGAAGGACTTCTTTTTGTCCATTGTCCTATCCAAAATAGAGTCTATATCTGGGCCAAACAGAAGATCTCCAGTAAAAGGAATTCCGCAAAGTCTACTCTTTGACGCCGCACCCCCCAACCAAGTTTTTAAACACAGTGCTCTTCTGGCTGAGTTTGAGTTACATAGGGCTGCTGACCTTGCCAACATTCTAATGGACTTGGCTGAAGCATCTGCTATATATGCAACCGCTGATGTTAGAGTAGAGAAATTATGCAAGATCTCCAGCTTTGATGAATCCGCCACGATATGTGCCTTCAGCTAATTTAAACCAGTATTCTAAATTTCTTGCTACACAAGTAGCGGTCATGGCTGGCTTAATATTACCCATGATTGACTGGCAGGATCATTTGAGCAATAGATCCATCTTTTTATCCATGGGATCTTTCCAAAAATATCCATGTCCTCAAAGGCTAGGTCAGTGGATCTAGATATCTGAGAAAAGGCTGTATCTAGCTTAGGAACATTATTCCATACTCAAAACTTCTTATGGGGTTTTTTTGGGGGGAAAAAAAGGCTCTCTGGATCCAGCCATTCTTTTTTTATAGCCTCAGAAATCACAGAATACTACGCCAAAGTACGCCCCGTAGGCTCACTAAGGCCCATGTACATACGGTCATGCAGCATTAATTGTTTTTTCTCTTTTCCCCAGCCCAATGTAGCATAAATAGCTTTCCGTAATCCATCCATTTCATCTAGGGACAACTATCACCCCCTTCATCCTCATCAGAATGAGTGGGGGAATGCCCCTCTTGGATAGCAGTATCACCCGCTTCTCCTTCTACCAAAGAGCAGCAATAAAGGCTTTTCGCAGAGGCTTTTTCCAATTATCCCCCAGTTTTGTTTTGCATGAAGGGCAATTCTTCTTCTTTGACGGTTCAGAGCTCTTAGCCAGTATGGATATAAACATACCAAAAAAAAAAAACCTCACTAATGAGTCAAGAAATTCTCAACCGCTCAACCTACGTGCAGTCACCGCTTACCTGGGCCTTGCTGGTGCCTGTCCCTGTCCCCACTGCTGTTGAACCTGCGTCCTCCATTACGAGCATGCAGCAAACAAATCCACGTGGCTATTACTTGCTTGTCCCAGACTGGAACTGGAAAAAAGGCACCAGTCCTTCCTCCTCCCAGAAAAGATGCCGTGTGCCTAACCCGGTAGCCCTGACCCTTCCGGAAACCTAACTTCCGGATGCTGAAGACATGATCTGGCCACCAAAAAGATGGCGGCGGCTTTCTATCGGTGCAACCACCGCCTAGGAGCAGGGCTTCCAAGGTCAGTACAGACTCTCCCCGAGTACAGGAGGGGGAGAAGAGCCCATCCACTGCCTAACCTCACGTATAGACCTAGGAAGCCTGGGAATCTCTAAAAGAAACAAAGGTTAGTGGAACATCAACCAACTCTCTTAGAACAAACCCCAAAGATTCTGGCTCCAGGCCTTCCCACCAGGCCGGAGGAAACACAAAAACTAATAAGTGGTGGGGAAAAGCCCCCCTTTAAAAGATTGGTGGAAGAGGTGTTTCCTGTTTGGTAGGAGGAACCACAATCTCTCAGGTACTGTCCTGAAAGACGTTCTGGGAAATAAAAGGAGCTGTACGTTAAATTTTCAGCTGAATAGCAGCTGCATCCAATCAGATTCAGTCAGTCTTCAGGTATTCTAACAGCTGCCTGCACTGGCTATCAAAATACAATAACTGTATAGGGAGATTCTACGCACTGTATCCTGTGGATGGAGGAATCTGAAATCCGAAGAAAAAAAGAAAAATCTAGACCGTTTATGACCAACTTAAGTCCCCATGTTATGGAGATGAGGTCAGTCGAAGGAATTTAGTAATATAGCAAAAGAAAAACTAAACAGAACTGATACCATTCAGTCCAACAAAGAGCTGTGTGTTGTCAGGCCCCAACAAGAAATTAGGATGAGTGCAGTTCCGGCACATCAACAGGTATTTTTTGCTTCATGCAAAGTCTTTCAGGGGACTAAATATAGGGAAATGTACAATTATTTCAGAGTCGTACTGCCTATGTTTTGTTTTTTTTTTTTTAAATTTGCCTTGAAATATACTTTAGGAGTTTATCACTGTCTTTATGGGAATTGCTTTTTTTTTTTTTAATCTATGGACAGCATACATGGGGGTTTTTGACCTACTGCTTTGTTGAGATCCTGAGTGCCTGTGTAATTTACATTTCGGAGCAGTGGTTTTCTTTTGAAAATAATGGTAACTGTTATAGGTGCATTGACGAGACCTGCCATAATATAATACGTAAAAATAATTAAATATAAGCAAAATGCAAGAGTACAGTAGCTGTTGCCATTTTAAATGCTAGCACAGGAGAAAGGATAAGAGCATTTACAGTATACTGCAGTTCATAAATTACATGATGGTTCTTGTAATGTACAGTACAATTGTATATTCCACATACGAACTACAGTGATGAACGCTTAGGGATCTATGTATTAAAAAAAAAATTGATTTACCTAATATATTTGATTTCCCGTGATCTATACTTTACGCAGGGAATATACAGTACCACATTATGGTCACTAGATGGAGCTGATGCTCATAGGAAATCAATTTATTAAGTACATTCCAGTCTACACTTATCCACTGCTTGCAACATCCATGCAACAACTTTTTTTGTACCTCTCAATCTTAGATCGTATAGTATGTCAAGCAGCCACATACTGCAGCACTTAATTACAGCCAGATCTCCAGTACACTTTGCCAGCAGAGAAGGAGAAGGTGCAGATAGCAGATCCACACCTTTTTCAACATATTTGGGTAGTTTAAATATAATGGTAAAAGTGTGTATATATCTATTTGCATAAAAAAAAAACCTGGAAAAAATATGTAAAACAAGAACTTCCTCTACTCATACTGATAAGACAGCTTACCTTGCAATGGAACTACACAGGTCTGGCTTGATTGTCTGGAAACTAGCATGCAAACACATGATTTGAGGAATGGCTGCGTCCATCAAAGGCATTTGCTTTATGACGGATTTCCATTTACATATGCATGTGGGGGGGACCGACACATGTGCTTGCATTTGTACATGAGCACAGGGGGACAGAGACACTTTATTTATATGGTCTCTATTTTTTTTTTTCTTTTTTGATCAGCTTTAGTAAATTATTATCAAAGGATAAAAAACATTTCTTGTGATAGCTGGGGCAGAGACAGGTCCTCTTTACTGAGAGATCTGGAGTCTATCAGACCTCAGGTCTCTCCTCCGGCCTCAAAGCACCTGATCAAACCGAGATCGGTTTGATCAGATGCTTTCACAAGCTGGTAATGACATGTAAACAACAAACTGAAACTGGAAGTGGCTGTGTTGTTTTCCCCCCTAATACAGTGGATATAAATAGTCTACACACCCCTGAAACGTTAGGTTTCTGTGATGTAAAAAATTAGATAAATAATTTCAGAACTTTTTCCACCTTTAATGTGACCTATAAACTGTACAAACTAAAATAATATGGTTGCATAAGTGTGCACACCCTTAAACTAATACTTTGTTGAAACACCTTTTGATTTTATTCCAGCACTCTTTTTGGGTATGAGTCTATCAACATGGCACATCCTGACTTGGCAATATTTGCCCACTCTTCCTTGCAAAAACACTCCAATTCTGTCAGATTGCGAGGGCATCTTCTTGCACAGCCCTCTTCAGATCACCCCACAGATTTTTGGTCAGATTCAGGTCTGGGCTCTGGCTGGGCCATTCCAAAACTTGAATCTTCTGGTGAAGCCATTCCTGTTGATTTGGATGTATGCTTTGGGTCATTGTCATGCTGAAAGATGAAGTTCCTCTTTATGTTAAGCTTTCTAGCAGAAGCCTGAAGGTTTTGTGCCAATATTGACTGGTATTTGGAACTGTTCATAATTCCGTCTACCTTGACTAAAGCCCTAGTTCCAGCAGAAGAACAACAGCTCAAAAGCATGATGCTGCCACCACCATGCTTCACTGTGGGTATGGTGTTACTTTGGTGATGTGCAGTGTTATTTTCCTGCCAAACACATCTTTTGAAATTATGGCAAAAAAGTTCAACCTTGGTTTCATCAGACCAGAACACATTTTCCCACATGCTTTTGGGAGACCTCAGGTGTGTTTTTGCAAAATGTAGCCGGGCTTGGATGTTTTTCTTCATAAGTAAAAGGCTTATGTTGTGCCACTCTACCTCATAGCCCAGACGTATGAAGAATACGGGAGATTGTTGTCACACGTACCAGCCAGTATTTGGCCAGATATTCCTGCAGCTCCTTTAATGTTGCTGTAGGCCTCTTGGCAGCCTCCCAGACCAGTTTTCTTCTCGTCTTTTCATCAATTTTGGAGGACGTCCAGTTCTTGGTAATGTCAATGTTGTGCCATATTTTCTCCATTTGATGATGACTGTCTTCACTGTGTTCCATGGTATACCTAATGCCTTGGAAATTCTTACCCTTCTCCTGACACTTTTTAACAATGAGATCCCTCTGATGCTTTGAAAGCTCTCTACGGACCATGGCTTTTGCTGTAGGATGCGACTAAAAAAAAAATGTCAGGAGAGACCTACTAGAACAGCTGAACTTTATTTGGGGTTAATCAGAGGCACTTTAAATGATGGAAGGTGTGTAGTGACTCCTATTTAACATGATTTTGAATGCGATTGCTTACTTCTGAACACAGCTACATCCCCAGTTAGAGGGTGTGCACACTTATGCAACCATATTATTTTATTTTTTTATGTTTACTCCCCCCCAAAAAAAAAAAAAAAGATTTCAGTTTGTCTTTCAATTGAGTTGTACAGTTTATAGGTTACATTAAAGGCGAAAACAATTCTGAAATGATTTACCTTTGTCAGTCTCATTTTTTTACATCACAGAAACCTGATATTTTAACAGGGGTGTGTAGACTTTTTATATCCATTGTAAGTGATTATTGCTAGTAAGACACGGACAGTATGAACTTGGACAGCCAAAGATACATCCACACTTGCCTACCTGAATCACCACTTTGAGAGACGTTAACACCATCAGGTGTATCTGCAATCTGATCATTCTGCAAGAAGCAAATTAAACTTTCAAAATTTTAGTATAAAATTACACAACAGCATATCAGCTTTGATTTCATATCTTTCTTGCTTGATCGGACCGAGCTACTCAGGTCTACAGAATCGTCTAAGAACTGAAAAATATATATTTTGGGAATATAGAATCTTGAGCTTGTGATCCTGAAACTAAAACCTTTTATCCTGACTGAAGATATTTGGCTTTATTTTTATATAGCACAAGGAAGGGTTAAGTCTTTTTGTTTTGGTTTTTATTACCATGTCTCCACTGGGAAGATAGTGTTCAAGGTACTGTCATCTTGGTCAATCTAGACAAGGGCAGCAACTCCGAAATGTGTTGTCAACAGTGTCTTTATTGGGAAAATAGTGCTCTAGGTTTGTCCCGCACAGAAACCTTCACTTTGGTGTTTGTGTGTGCCCAGCCAGTGGTTGGCACCACCATAGACGTCAAAGTAGAAAAAGGCCAGCACTCCAAAATGAGTGGTCAAGCTCTTTTATTCCCTCAAAAAATGAGAAACAGATGTGACATTTGGAGGACCTCTTACTCAAGGCTTTCTCTCATAACTAGAGAAAGAGGTCTTGTATGCACTCAAAACATCATGCCAGTTTCTTCTGTTTGTTGGAAAGAGTTTGATTACACATTTTGGAGTACTGGCCCTTTTCTACAGTGATGTCCATTCGGAAGACTTTCCTTAAGATAACATACAGAATTACCATGAGAACTACCAAATTCTGAGATCCTTCAAGCCAATAGTGAGCAGTCAGGATAAAGGTTTTATTTTAGCTTTATATAGTACAGGAAAGGACAAGTCTATAGTTTTTTTCTTAAGGTGTCTATTTTGGGAAGATAGTGTTTTAGGTCTGTCCGACACAGAAACCTTCACCTTGTTACTTGTGGGTGCCTGGCCAGTGGTAGCACCATCATAGACATCCCAGTAGAAAAAGTACAGCAATCCAAAATTTGTGTCCTTGAAACGTCAGACTGGTTTCTCTCACTTTTTGATGGGATAAAAGAGCTTGACCATCTTTCCCAAGGCTTTCTCTTATATTTAAGAAGCATTTCTACTTTCTAATGTTTCTCAAAAAAATAACTGATTTTGGTATGAAATGAATTCACTGAAGGAAAATCATATTGAATGAGCAAATGCAATGTTGAAGTACTTTCAAACGTCATTTGTCAAGTCTCTGCTGGCATTATTGAAAGTACTGACATGATCTTTCATATGAATAGATGTTTGAAAATCTTTGGCCGGTCATTCATGGATTGAAATTCGGCCGCTTAGGCAGGGACTGGACGAATTTCGATCCATGCACTTTTATTACCCAGTCCTCCACTCCTGCAGGTTCCCTCCAGGTTGTGAGACCAGTCTCTTCTCCTCTAAGCCCTGGCAGTTTCCTATCCTCCTGATGTCCTGAAGTCTATATCCCTACATTGGACATGAGGATTCTGAGGAACAGTCCACTGCTGGAATGTAGGGGTGCTCCAGCTTCTTGGGAGTGGAGGACCAGGTAAGTAAAAAATCTTTTCCTGCCCCCTAGACATATTATCCCTGGAGTTGGGCTTTATTTTGCCATAAAACCTTATAGTAACCAGCATATTATCAGCCCCAGAATACCTGAGAGGAAGAAGAAAAGTCTCGGAGTTTAATCAAAACATCCAAAACAGCATCTTTGATTTCCCCTTCATATGTTTTCTCCATCTTCTCCAGCAGCTCCATACATTCTGCAAGAGACACATAGAGGCAATCAGTTTTTGTAGGTTTCATTCAGCACAGTGACAAAATGGTTACTACTGCCACCTGGCAGTACTAGGTTCGTTGGTTAGAATCCCAACTATGGCAGCTCCAGCCTGGAGTTTGCATGTTCTCGCTGTGCCTGCGTAGGTTTCCTTTGGGTACTCCGGTTTCCTCCCACACTCCAAAGACATGCTGGTAGGGTAATTGGATCCTGTCTCAATTGGCCCTAATGTGTATGTATGAATGTAAGTTAGGGACCTTAAATTGTACGCCCCTTGAGGGTTAGGGACTGATGTGAATGTACAATATATATGTAAACTGCTGCGTAAATTGACAGCGCTATATAAGTACCTGAAATAAATAAAATAAATAATAATGTAGAGCCAAAAATTTTAAGTGGAATAGTGATGGATTTAAACCCCTGTTAGTGTCCCATTGGGGAGATTTCATTTCAGTTCATTCCCTCGACATGCAACAAGAGATGGAAAAACATCTACAAAGTAATGGGAACTCCCTTCTTAGGGCTTGCTCACTTGTGCAGCTATTATTGCTGCCCCTCTGAAAAGTGATCTGCTTTTTCACCACCCGTTTTAACACTCAAAATGCCAATTCACAGTGCCACAACATTGCATGCGGTTGTAAGACAGTGAGGTGTGTCCCTATTCATTAAATGGGTCACGTTAGACAGGAGTACCGCCTGCAATTGCAACATGCTGTTTCATTTTTGGTTTGGGCGTGATGCTTTGATACGGCCTGTGTACAGCCCGAAGTGGCTGTATTTCTGTGTATAGGTGGGTAGTGGGTGGTTGGAGGGAAGTAAAATTGTGGTAGAACCACCTGTTCTTACTGCCCTCTGGTTGCCTGTGTGATGAGCCCTTAAAGTGGAGCCCTAGTCAAAGTTTAAAAAAAAAAAAAAAATAAAATCCTGCGGTGTGTCTTCGGTTTCACTGGCTGTCCCTTCTCCCTGGCACCGGCATCTTAAGTGTGGACACCCGGCTGTGACAGCTTGTGCCCACTGTGAATGCGCCTTGTGAATGGTCACGTTGTCTTCTGAAACACATGACAGGTCCCAGAAGACAATGGGGGGGGGGATTTGGGTGGCATACAACTTCCACTTTCCGATCACCCAGGCGATTGCAACGGAGGTGGGTGTGGCTACCTGTCAAAATCAGGTACAGGCTCCCACACCCTGATCCCCAAAGGTACCCAACCCTAATGGGGAGTGGGGGACGAGGCCTTAAAGCAGAACTTCCCCTTTTGGGTGGAGCTCCACTTTAAGCTGACCATACATGGTTCATTTATTTTTTCCATTCAACAGATTTTCTCATCCACACCTTCGAAGTGGATGGAGGAATCCTGCCCTCAGCGTTATTGTTTTCTGACCGCGGCAATTGGGGAATCAAGCGATTTTCTTTCCTTCCACTTCTTTCAATCAGACGAGGACGTGTATGCATTCAGGAAATACAAGGCTTCCTGTGATTGGCTGAACAGCACTCAGCCCCACTCGATTTTGTTCCAGGAGCAGGATGGGACATCTCCATCCTACTGCCGGAATACAGCACTGTATACTGTATGTAGCGGATGCTATATACAGTTTATATATATATATATATATATATATATATATATATATATAGAGAGAGAGAGAGAGAGCACATCTGTTAGTAAAGTAAATAGTTCATTTGGACCATCATGTCTAAGGAAACTATTTTAACAATTGGAGTAAAGTACATGTACTGCATATCAGATAGACATGCTCTCTTAGATTGTAAGCTCCAAGGAGCAGGGTCAGGAAAAAAGAGGCGGTGCCCTCTAAGTGCACTATAAAAGCTTTTTAATGGATAAAAGGTATAGTAATACAGGCCACTCACAAAGCATTAGTAGGTTTGCACTTGTAAAATAAGAAGGGAGAATGTCACCGGCACACCGAGGATCACCAATATGGGTCCAAAAGTTTTAATGAACGATCACATAGTTACAGCAAGGCAACGTTTCGGAGTCTTGCAGGACCCCTTCATCAGGCATGTGCGAGACTCCGAAACGTTGCTTTGCTGTAACTATGTGATAGTTCATTAAAACTTTTGGACCCATATTGGTGATCCTCGATGTGATGGTGACATTCTCCCTTGCTGTTTCTGTTCGGTTCCAAGCGACGGTCGCTGCTGCACCCACTTATACACACACTGCCATTTGTAACGCAGGAACGTGTGCGTTTGGATTGTACACTTGTAAAATAAGAATCCACTGTTGTGAAGACTCTACATGGAAAGGGATCACCGGTGTCTGGTGGTGGTGCAGGTGGCCTCCAGCACATCCTAGTTTTGGGATTCCCTCAGTTGAGACATCATTCCAGGTCACGTGATGGTGGGGGTTGGCGTTGTGCTCCCTCATCGGGCCTGTATTACCATACCTTTTATCCATTACAAAGCGGTTATACTGTACTTAGAGGGCGCCGACTCTTTCTTCCTGATCTTCCACAGGGCCTCTTTAGCTTGTTTTTGGCCTGCTGCCTCCACCCCATGGTGCATCAGAATGTCCTATAGGACTCTCTCTAAGGACATTTTATTTGTATATTTATTAAGGTATACTGTTTATGATTTACTTTCCCTAATTCCATCACCATTAATTTATATGTTTATACATACACCTGATAATTCTACTCCGTCTCGGAATGCGCCAATATCCAACTTGCCTTCCAAGGAGCAGGGCCCTCCTAACCCTCTTGTACTGAACTGTATTGTCTCCCTTTATATTGTAAAGCGCTCAGCAAACTATTGGCGCTATATAAATCTTGTATAATAATAATAATAATGTACAGCACTAAGCAAAAAGAAAGCACATTCTTTGTGAATGCCAAGCTCAGTCAGCAGGATGCAGTGACCACACACAATAGAAGGGCTGCACAACCTTTATACAGAGCTCTGCTCTGTTCCACAGAACTTTCCAAGAAAAGCTGCATGACAAGTAAAGCTAGATATTGCAACAGAAGACACGATCTGAATTGTTTAGGTGAATTACAGTACTGCTGAATATTTTAGATTTTTTGCTTTAGTCATTTTCACAGGGTGTGTCTAGCCCATGTGCATCCAATCTCGGAGTTTTAGGGAGCCCGGTGGCACTGCCTATCAGGACCGGCTCACAACAGGAATTGCACAGGAACATGCTCTGCCTTCCTCTGCAATTCACATACAGTTCTGTGCGGTGCGACTTCAGCTGATTCATTCCGAAATCGCACTGCACCAAAAGTAGTGCATGCACTACTACTTTTACAAACTTAGTGCTACAGCATCGCAAAGTCCTATTGTACTATGCGATCCAACGTGGGGAACACCCGCTGCAGATTTAATACGGTGCGGGAAACGAGCACAAACATAGCTTTCCTGCATCGCATTCTGGTGTGATCTGGCCCTCAAAGTCCATGACAGTCTATGACAACCCCTGAGAATTCTCAAGCTGTGGACCACGACGAGGGGGTCTTGGGTAGAATGAATAGGATGGACACTTGAACACTGTTAGGGTATGGGCGTGGGGTTTGAGAGATGGTATTTAGGGGACAGGAAGAAATTGAAGGAAGAAGAGAGAACACGCTGTGCCTTTCTCTGAAATTCACATACAGTCCTGTGTAGTGCAATTTCAGCCCATTCATTTTGAAATCCCATTGCACTGCACCAAAAGTAGTGATGCACTACTTTTGCAAACTAAGTGCAACAGCATTGCATGATACTATGTGATCCAGAGCAGAGAACACCCGCTGCACTGCATTTTTAATACAGCACGGGAAACACGAACGAACATAGGTTTCCTACACCGCATTCTGGTGTGAACTGGCCCTCAAAGTCCATGACAGTCCCTGAGAATTCTCTAGCTGCGGACCACGACGAGGGGGTCCTTGGCTCTACATTATTTATTTCCAGGTACTTATACAACTCCATAAATTTACACAGTGCTTTACATATATATATTATTCAGATCAGTCCCTAAGCCTCAAGGGGCATACAGTCTAAGGTCCCTAACACACATTGATACATACACATACTAGGGACAATTTAGACAGGATCCAATTAACCTACCAGCACGTCTTTGGAGTGTGGGAGGAAACCAGAGTACCTGGAGGAAACCCATGCAGGCACAGGGAGAATATCTAAACTCCAGGCCGGTGGTGCCGTGGCTGGGATTCGAACCAACAACCCGTGTACTGTCAAGCGGGAGTGCTAACCATTTAGCCACTGTGCTGCCCGAATGAATGAATAGGATGGACACTTGGACGATGGACACTTGGACACTGTTAGGGGAAGGGGCATGGGGTTTGAGAAAGGGTATTTAGGGGACAGGAAGAAATTGAAGAAGGAAGAGAGAAGAAAGAATAAACAAAAAAGGGAGTGGTGGTAGAGGTTTTGGGGGTGGGGTGTGGGGCTCAGCATGCCAGGGTTCCCAAGATTGGACCAAGTTCAATATTCACCCTGTGGTGTAAATTGGCGTTCATAGGATTCAGCATCAAGCAACCGTCACAAAGATGGTGACATGATGTTCATGTATTTAGTATTCAATTTGCACTGAGACCATCAGGCCCAGGTCTTAGTATATTCCTTTGGCCTCTCTTGGGCTGATTGGATACGTTTCAGCTACTCTGTCCAATCTCATCTCTCTCAGTGAAAGTCTTTGTGGTGTTCTCCAATTTGCAGAGAATTTGCATTCTGGCTGCATTAACAATATGCATGGCCAAGGTTTCAGGTAGTGTTTCCAAAGTAGGGATGTATTCAGTGCAGAATGTATTGGGAAGGAGAAAGAGAAAAGTATAAGTAGTTACTAGAAGGGAAAGGATCATTTAATTTCAGTGCAGGTAATTTTCAAGACCACAATTCAATATATTGCTCCAGGTTTCATAATCAAAGCCACCTTTTCTGGACTCAATTCATTTTAGGGGTCACAAAATGGGTAGCATGCAAAGAAATAACTTGAGATTTCTACCTGCAAAGCAAAGCCGTTTACTGGGTTCACCATCCCAACATTGCGTCATCATCTCTATAGCTTCAGGAACCATCTTCTTAGTCTTCCACTTGTCCACAAGTTTCATGTCAGGTCGGATACCATGTGGTACACGATAAAAAATGATGTCTCTATTTATGCCTGGAAATATAAAAAACTATCGATTATATTAAGATGGAAAAAATAGATGTTCAGGAAATCTTGAAGTGCAGAGAAGGTTGGAACATACCATAATATGGTTCCTGGCCTGACAATATCATCCATATTAAAATGGCAAAGCTGAAAGCAAAGGTAAAGAAGTAAGAAGTTTACATTTTGTTAACATATCTGGGGTTATATACTGTATGACACCTCTTTACTCCATGTTAAAAAGGCTAAGTTCACCTTTGGGAAAAAATAATAAATGCACATGTTTTTGCAAGAAAAAAAAATATGCATTTATTATTTTTTGCACAGGAGCCTGTAGAGCATTGCACCCGCAATCCATGAACATGTCCTTCATGTCCGCAAACACTTAGTTTAGGCAGACCTTCTCCTAAACTAAGTGTCATATTGCCCTCCCTCTTTCACAACTGCATGCAAGTGTAAAGTCATCAGAAGAATTGTATGTGTCTAAAAGAGAGTACTTTAAGTGTACATTTTACACTGGATCTTCTGTTAGCTCTGCCAGCAAGAACCTCCATTCTGTGCAGAAAATACGTATAGGCCCAATGTGAATGAGCCCTTATAGATACTTATATATAGAAGCATATCGGCTTGGATGTCACTCCACTCCCTCAAACTCAACCTTTCCAAAACTGAGCTCCTAGTATTCCCCCCTGCCCGTGCCACCTCCACTGACTTTACCATAAATATCGATAACACCATCCTCAGTCCATCCCCTCACGCCAGGGTACTAGGTGTAATTCCAGCCCCAGATCCAATCACTGACAAAATCATGTAGACTTCACCTCCGCAACATCTCCAAGATACGACCATTCCTAACCACAGAAACCACTAAGCAACTTATCCACTCCCTTGTTATATCTCACCTTGACTATTGTAACTCCCTCCTCATTGGCCTACCTCATCGCAGGCTATCCCCCCTTCAGTCTATCATGAATGCTGCTGCCAGACTCATCCACCTCACTATCTGTTCTGTTTCTGCCACCCCTCTCTGCCAATCCCTCCACTGGCTCCCAGTTGCCCAACAGATAAAATTCAAAACTCTTGACAATGACATATAAAGCCATCCACAACACTGACCCAAATTACATAACCGATCTTATCTCTAAATATCACCCACACCGTACACTCCGCTCCTCGCAAGATCTCCTACTCTTTAGCTCCCTTATCTCCTCCTCCCATTCTCATCTCCAAGACTTCTCCAGGGCGTCACCCATCCTCTGGAACTCTCTACCCCAATCTATCAGACTATTACCTACTCTACTTACCTTTAGGCATTCACTGAAAACCTATCTCTTCAGGGAAGCCTATCCCGCCCTCTGCTAATAATGGGATACTCTTCCAACAACTCCATCCCCCACAGTTATTACCTATTGTACCTTTCACCCCTCCCTCCTAGATTTTAGGAGAAGGAGCAGGGCCCTCAAATCCCTCTTGTATTGAACTGTATTGTTACTGTATTGTCTCCCACTACAATGTAAAGCGCTGAGCAAACCGTTGGCTCTATATAAATCCTGTATTATATTAATAATAATAATAATAGAAGCACAACATGATCCTATGATTTAGTACCTGTATACATCAAACTCTTTAGTTGGCTTATATTCATGGTATGCAAAGGACTCTGGAGGCATGTAGGAAATTGTCCCAGCTGTACGCGTCGAAACTGACGTTTCATTTCTGGCAAGACCAAAATCCGTTAGCTAAAATGAAAAGGGAATTATGTTTTAGAAAGTTTTAGTTATGACCTTAGAATGCACAAGAAGTAGAAACTTTCCACAATTAATTATTTGGTCCTAACAAGATCCAAGCCTACAGAAAGATTTTTTGAAAATACTTATAGCGCACTCATTCGGCAGTTTACCAACCTGAATAGTGTGACTGTACCCCAACAAGGATTAAGCAGAGAAGAGTCCAGAGAAGAAAGCATAGAAGACTTGAGGTCAATCCAAGGATTAAACTACCCAGTCAGATGAGCTGCCAAGAAGTCAAACACAAACAGAGTAAAGCCAAAAGTTAGTGTTGGGGTACCCAACGGTTAGTTGTTAACATAGGAACAAGGCCTGGGGGGGAGAAGGCTGTAGCTGAAGCTTAGGTCAGGGCAGACAGAGTTTGAAACAGCATAAAAAGCTCAACAAGCAATTTAGTAGATGTGAATTTAAGAGCTTAACTACATTTTTACAAGGCGTACACATTTAAAGATGGCCTAAAACAGCCATTCTCAACCACGGTTCCTCCAGAAATTGTTTGGGGTTCCTTGAGTGGTGTATGGATAGTTCTGGGGTCAAAGCCACTTGGCCGAGCCAGCTACAGTACACCAATTACCTTTTTGGCTGCCTGTAAGTGTGGCATTCTGGCCACCACTGTACAAGATACCGCAGTGCCGCGGAACCCAGGTTGGCCTGGGACAGCTACCCTTCCCACCCCTATGCTTCTCACATCAGGACTGAAGTGTGGACAGAAGCAGGCTGCCTCTCTCCCGGAGCACATCACAAGTTCGTGGGTAATCCAGTGCTAAATCATTTGTGGACAACCTGATTCTGGGTCAGGGTTTTGTAAAGCCACAAGAGGGAGAAGGGAAGCACAAAGCAGAGGAATGTGCCTTTGGGAAGCGGCAGGGAAAAGGGGAGGATTGGAAGGCTTGAGCTGGGCCAAGCACTTGGACACACATGCGGCTTTCTGTCCACTGCCCACCTATTTAAACGGTGTTTTTCCCACTCACCCCCAATTAATTGGTTTTAGTAGGGGTTCCATGAGACCTAAAAATGATTTCAAGGGTTCCTGTAAAAAAAAAAAAAAAGATGAAAGAAGGTTGATCAGGAAACCTTATTTCTCAAATTGTGAGAGATAAACCATATAAGAAAGATATAGCAATATAACATCAAGTATAATCCAGTATAATTAGAAGCAGGAAGATGGCGCATACCCAGCAAAATCTATGAACTCTATGAAGCTAGAAGAGCAGCGTGCACCTCACATGCAAAGGGCATCCTGAATTGTAAGACAAAATGTACATTTCCTTCCGAACTTGCTTTTGTAACTTTAAAGCTGAACTCCAGCAATGATCTTTATTGTATACTCGCACTGGTCCTGCTTGGCACAATGTCATAACTGGTGGGCCGATGGAGAAGCTGACAATCGCTATAGTAGTCAGTGTTACTACAATGATAGCCTCAATCTTCTGGGTTCTACATTTGAGTGGCTTCCCTTCTGCACACTGATAGCAGAAGGTGGCTCATTTGGCACAGATGCTATTCATAGAATGCCTTGTATTTCTTTCAATGAATACAAGGCATTCTGTGATAGGACAAGATGGAGAGGAGGGGCGGTGACATCAAGATCTTCCCCTTGTCCAATCAGAGAACGCTTTATATTCAATGAAGGAAACACAAGGCGTTCTATGAAAAGTGGTAGTCACCAGCAAGCAACCTCTGGTGGCCAGTGTGCAAAGGGGGACTTGCAAAGACCCCCCAGCAAGAAATGGAAAATCACAGCAATCACCGTATTAACGCCGACTGCTACAGAGATTTTCAGCTTGACCAGGAGTCTCTAATTTTTTTTCTAAACATAGGGTCAGTTTACTGTCCTTCAGACTTTACGGGGGCCAGACTGTGGCCAGGGAGAGTAGAAAATGCCCCAGCGTTAGGGGGAATAGATTATGTCTCAGGCTTGGTGGTCAATGGGAATTTAGAACGGACATAACGCCTTTGCCTAGTAAGAGGAATAATGCCCAATCACTGGTATTAGTGAAAGGGATAGTGCCCCACCATTGGTGTCATTGGAAGGAATAGTGCCCCATTGTTGCAGTCAATGGAAGTAATAGTGCCCCATTGTTGGTGTCAGTGGGAGGAATAGTGCCCCATTGTTACTGTCAGTGGAAGGAATAGTACCCCATTGTTGCTGTCAATGGGAGTAATAATGCCCCATCACTGGTGTCAGTGGCAGAAATAGTGCCCCATTGTTGGTGTCAATTGGAGTAACAGTCCCCCATCATTGGTGTCAGTGGGAAGAATAGTGCCTAATTGTTTATAACAGTGAGAGGTATAGTGCCCCATTGTTGGTGTCAGTGGAAGGAATAGTGCCCCATCAATGGTGTCAGTGAGAGGATTGGTGCCCTGCTGCTTGGGTCAGTGGAAGGATTGGTGCCTCATCAGTGAAGTCAGTGAAAGAAATAGTGCCTCATATCGGAAAAAAGAGGGCCCCCAAAGCTGGATAAAGGCAACCAAAGGGCTACATTCGGCCACTGGCTGCAGTTTGGAGATCACGGAGCTAGACCAATGCAAGCATGCAATACAAATCATTCCAGGATTGCAATTGTAAACTGTGCTAGTGAATGTTTATTAGACCTCCAAATTTTCAACTTTAAAAAAAGGTAAATTATTACTATGTGTCATGTTTCACATGACTGTCGCATGCCTTTAAGTGTTCTCTGTAATTTGTCTCTGCTCCTCCCTTTCCTTTGGTTTAGTTAATGCTGTATAGATAGCCCACACCTTTCTCAGTAATGCATTTCGGCAAGCCTCATCTCTCGTGAAGCAGAGTACAATATGATCTTTTGACCTATCAGATGTTCATTGTTGTAAGATTCTCTCAGTTTATGGAATAAACTCTACAAGATGTCTTCTGTATTGAGTCACTGACTGTGGTATCCAACTGAGATTGGAGTTATTACCATCTCATCACAACTGTAATTTACAGAGATCACACTTTCAATGTTTAGACTGGAGAGACAGAACACTATGGAAAGCTGAAGCATAATCAGTGGGCAGAGAAGATGAGGAGGTAGAAGAAGACACAAATCCATTTGCTAAGCAAAATGAACACCAGGCTGACCACCGGACGGGGGATCAAACCATGCATGGGAGAGCAATCACCAGACAGATGAAAGGACAGTTCCTTTAATACGCAAACATACATGCGTGTAATGTAATGTGTTAAGAGGCAACATTATGTGGATGACCCAGCAGGGAAAATTACAATCAGGCTTCAAATGGTGGCTCCACATAGAGGCACCATGTTATTCAAACAATCATTGCCTAAAGCAGAAATCCACACTCATAATAATGAAAAAAAAATGTTCTTGACCTTAGAGCCAAAGTACAAAGAAAGCTGTCAGTTCCCCATTACATAACTATCACCTTACCTTAAGACTACATTTGCACGGGTGATTAGCACCAATGTGAATGACAGCAGCAAGAATCTGCTGATTTCTGCAGCTGTTTGTCCCTACTATGAGTGGCTAGTTGTGGCCACCAAGCCCCGTCCACTTCAATGACAGGCTGGCGGCAGCTGCAGCTATCCATGGCTATCCACATAGCCAGGAATTACCTGAGGTGATTGCAACTGATGCACTTTGTGGGGCAGGCAGCCATGGATAGCTGTGGCTGCTGCTGACCTGCCATTAAAGTGGACATGGCTCAATGGCCCCAGCTACCCATTCACAGTTGGCAGCAAACAGCAGAGTCATCCCGCTGTCATTCGCACTGGTGTTTGTAGAAGAGAACCTGCAGTTTTTTCCATGACAGCCTCCACTTTCTTTTGAAAAATGTCCAGGTACAAATTCACCATCAGGCTTTTTTTTTTTTTTTAAGTGGTGTTCCTGTTCATAGGGCCAGTTACCGCTGTGCTCTCTCCATAAAACGGAGCAATGGGTTGAGAGATCTCCCCTCTGTAATCCTTTCAGCGTTGAACTGACATCTACACATCTACACTGCTATAGCATCAAGTCAGTGAAACTCCTGGGATATTTATCTGGTCAGTTAAGTAGCAGAGGGGGTTGTTACGTTTCAGCTGCTTTGGTGTTAATGAAATTAACAACAGGTGCACTAGATGGGCAACAATGATACAACCCCCAAAACAAGAATGGTTTTACAGGTGGAGGCCACTGACATTTTTTTTCCCTACTCATCTTTTATGACTGTTTTTTTCTCTAGTTTTGCATTTGGCTAGGGTCCGTGTCACTACTGGTAGAATGAGGAGATACCTGGACCCTACAGAGGTTGCCCAGGCAGTCCAACTCCTCCAGGATGGCACATCAATACATGCCATTGCCAGAAGGTTTGCTGTGTCTCCCAGCACAGTCTCAAGAGCATGGAGGAGATTCCAGGGGACAGGCAGTTACTCTAGGAGAGCTGGACAGGGCTGTAGAAGGTCCTCAACCCATCAGCAGGACCTTTATCTGCTCCTTTGTGCAAGGAGGAACGGGATGAGCACTGCCAGAGGCCTACAAAATGACCTCCAGCAGACCAATGGTGTGAATGTCTCTGAACAAACAATCAGAAACAGTCTTCATGAGGGTGGGCTGAGGGCCCAACGTCCTCTAGTGGACCCTGTGCTCACAGCCCGGCACCGTAGAGCTTGATTGGCATTTGCCATTGCAAACCAGAATTGGTAGGTCCACCACTGGCGCCCTGTGCTTTTCACAGATGAGAGCAGGTTCACCCTCAGTACATGTGACAGACGTAAAAGGGTCTGGAGAAGCCGTAGAGAAAGTTATGCTGCCTGTAACATCGATCATCTTGACCGTTTTGGTGGTGGGTCAGTGATGGTCTAGGGAGGAATATCCATGGAGGGACGCACAGACCTCTACAGGCTAGACAATGGCACCCTGAATGCCATTAGGTATCGAGATGAA